TAGACAAAGATTTGTATGTCAGTGTTAATACGACAAACAAGATCTAAAATGACTTATATTGTTTTCATCACGAATCAATCTGCCAGTTCCTACCCTAGCTTTTCAGCAAGCGATCTTCGCCGGTATTCTCTAATCAAATAAATAGATAAATGTAGCTTTAAAAGGAAATAAATACAGACTTTAATTCAGCGACTTGGTATAAAGCTTTAGTATGATATATTTTTGCAAGGCGTTGTGCAGGAAAAGGACACGGAGGGTAGGTAGGTGAGGATGAGCCAAAGAAGTTTAATTCCAAACCACTTGAGACGCGCTTTGTCTCTGTTTAAGGGTCTCATCATGCAGATTTTGGAATTAGTGTTATCGGCATAAAATATTCGTATCTCAAATTCAAAATAAAGTTATGGAAGTTCAAAGTTAGGGTGAGTGTGTGAGTTTCAAATATAAAACAGGATGTAGGTGGGTCGGTGTCAGTGTGACGGATAACAATATCAACCACATCCATAGCGTATTTATCAAAATTTCTATTTTATTAGTCTTAGTATGATCGTATTTATTGATGAAATATTTTATTACTAAAATCATTTAGATCAATAACTTACTAAAATCAAATTAATGGAATAAAACGAATTGAGAAAAATTGTAATAATCAGCTGTTGTATATGTGCCACAATGTTTATAATTTTCACCGAATGATTCGTTCGTTAGTTATGTAAAAGTATGTAACTCTTGAATGATCTGTCTTTTCTTACAACCTAGCAAAAATTCAAGAAAAAGAAATTTAATAAAAAAACGACTCAGTATAATGAAAGAAACTTGAATGCGTAATAATAAAACAATAATGAAATGAGAAAGAGAAACATATTCTACTGGATAAAATTACTTTGTCAAATACGAATAATTTCAACTAATTACGAATTCTCGAGAGTACAGATGAACGATGAAAATGATATTCACATTCACAATATAAAAATTAACTACCGTCAACAGCACAGAATATTAAAATCATTAAAAACTTGAAAAGTTCTTGAATAGCATCGAAGATTATAGACTCTTTTATTTCTCATATATCCGATGAATAAATAGAAGTATCAGTTAAATATGACAATTGTACATTTATTCATGCATAAAATTACTGATTGAAATTATCTAAAGATTAATATATAGACATCGATTTTAAATTAATAATATCTTTTTTATCGATGAACTTCATCATTTTCGTTTGTCAGTATTAATAAAATTTAAAAAAAAAGATGTTTCATGAAAAGAAACATTTCAGACCATCAAAAAATTCTATATTCATTAGAATATTTAGTTAGTACATAAACACAAGGATTGAACAAAAAATGATAAGAAATCTACATGTAACAAACCTATACCGTTATTGAATTAAGCAAAACAAAACATTATACGTACGTCAAAAAAATATATTTGTAGAAAATAACATAAATCATTACCAAATATGCATTTGACAAAATAATTTTCATTGATTCATATTAACGAATTACCTGAATAATATCGAAGGTAAAAACGTGGACCGTAATGTGGCGAAAGCATTTAGATCAAAAATAAGAACATCGAATAAGAAAAGAATCGAAAAATGAAAAAGTCGAAAAATCAAGATATTGCGAAACAGATTGTCGAAAGTAGAACTGTTAAAAAGCAAACGTTTCTCTGATATGAAATTACATAATTTTCATATTGATATAGACTGATTCGAAAAAAAAAATATATTGAGTGTTAATGTGTAATGATAACATCACTCACTTCCGAATCACATTCACACTTCTTATTAGTTTTCTATTATCTGAATATAATATGTAAAGTCCAATTCGAGATGATGAAAGAAATATTTATTATAATTACAACAAGAAATAAACGAACTAATATAATAATATTAACTCTTTAGAGTAACACTCTTTTCAAAACATTCAAATAAAATAATATCATTAGATATATGATTGAGATTTAATTCTATTGTGTTAATTAACATCTAAAATTATTGATGAAAACTCTTATTTGTTAGATTCGTCATAGTTATAAAGTTCATAATGTATTGTAATAAATCAAAGATGATGGAACTGTTTTAACTCATTGATAATAAAATCAATAGGAATTAATTCTTTTTTAAATTCGAACAATTACTGAAGTTGATACTCATATCATAAATGTTATTTAATTAATGAAACTACCAGTCAAAATAAAATCTAAGAGAAATATTTACTAAATAATAATGTAATAAATAGTCAAAAACTAATTCTTATATGAACTATGCATACTATAGATGAAAGTTATATATATGGATTTCTTTTACTAATTTTTATAAGAAAATATTGCTCTGGCAGACTAGTGTTACCACCAACCCGCACGTTTTCGTCATCGCAACATGTTTTAATCATATTAAGATTATTTACCTCTTGGTAAGTTTGTAATAAGCAACTTATCTCGGCAGCCTGTAGTGCACGACATCTACTATGTCCTTACACATTTTACTTTTTTTTATGTTCTATCAGTAAAATATTTAAAAAGACAAAATAGATATCGTAAATCACTTACTATCAAGAAAAGTTGCTTATTACAATTTACTAAGAGGTAAATGATCTTAACTGATCAAATATATATGTTGCAATGACGAAAGTATGCGGATTAATGACAACGTTGATCTGCCAGAGCAACATTTTTTTTAAACAAACACGAAAATTATAATATGACTGTTTGTATATCTATTTTGATTCATCACAAACATCATAAAATCTATATCATAGCATAAAATTAATTAAATGCAAAGTACAGAGTTTAATTACTGGAAAAATTAATTTGTAAAAAAATAAAACTTATATAGATGATTATTAATTCTCAGCTTTTCCAGTAAGATCAACTTGTAATATCTGTTTTCATCAATTTTAAAAACATTAAGACAAAGCTATATTCTCTCAATATGAAAGTGTAGCTGAATGATGATTAAATTCGTTTTCCATGTGTAATATTCATTGAAAAATGATATTATAATAATTATCAATGATAGAAGAATTCAAAGAAATTATGTTGTATTTTTTAATTTTACTTGAAAACGTAAGAATGAATTGAACACTCTACAATATATATGTGAATGCTTATTGGAACTATTTATCTATTTGTACAGTCTATTCTAATTGATGTAGATCTTTATTAAAGTAAATATTTTTCTTATTTAAGTTATTCATATTTAACAATCAATGCAATCAGTGAAATTAAACAAGAAGATGTATTAGGCTTACATATGAATATTCTACAACTTTGATGAAAAAAGTACAGTAAATAATTTTCTTATTATTTATTATCTCTATTTGTTTCAGATGAAATTCAACTTCATTTTTAAACTGATCGAGAACGTGTTTCTTTAATTAAATTATTTTTGTCGAAATTAAAAATTTTCTTTTTTAAGTAACATAAAAAAAAAGTAATGAAACATCAAGTATATCATTTATCTTAGATTCACATGAAGAAAATACAAGAAGTAGTTCATATTTTATTTATTTCGAGTGTCGGTTTGGGTGGAGGATGTGCGTATAGTTGTTGGCAGTATAAATATAATACAGTTCTCGTGAATGATCACTCGGCAAGTCTTTTATTTCAATTTAAACAAAAGTCGAAAGTTCATCTTATTCAATCAAATAACCACAATTATCCGCGACTACATTTAAATGTCTCCACGCAATTGTTCTCATCGTTAAATTGAGGTTTTTGACATCTTCTACGATTTTGCCACCATTTTACGACTATCGGACAAATGTAGCAGCTCTAAAAATGAAAGTATGAACATATTTTGATAAATATGACTTTACCAGTAGAATAGCGATGCAAACGCCAACAACAATCACGAAAATAACTACAGCAACAAGAGCACAAACGGCTGCGGCACCGGCTAATCCAAGAAAAATTAATACCATGTATTTGAACTGAAAGATTGATCAAACAAAATTTATTAATCGATATATATATATCAAAACAAAGTGACGATTTTCTAGCGTCAAGTCGAAAAAAAATAAGTGCTATACAATAGATTTTTCGTTTCTAACTATACTACATGTACAAGACTAAATGTGTATAGAGAAAAAAGTGAAAATAGAACAAGATGTAAGACACTTTTTCTTTCTTGATGACCTATTTAACTCTCTATTATAAATGACTCATCACCATCATCATTATCGACGACGATGATATGTTATATCTCCAAACCGTACGCGAAGAAATATAGAATAATACGAAAGCTGTAGAAAAACTCCGTGTGTCAATAAATGATCATATTTCTGTGTGTACAATAGCAATACTTGCGGGAAATATGATAACAACAAAACAGAGGCGCCCCAATGACTACAAAACAAGAGATCATACAATTTATTTAATAAAAATAAGTCATGTTCTGCAGAATATAAGAAGATGGACGTGAGTCAGAGTGTAGAGAATACTCACATCCTCAATATTAGCTGAAAATAAAATCATCAATAGAGTTTTATTTTAATTTTCTTACAACATTTTAATAAAACATCGATATGAATATAATATATTAAAAACATTTTCAGAATGTTTCTTGTTTTAGTTATTGATCAAGATAATATGTAGAATTCGAAAATATTATAAAATTGTATTTCTTCATATTTGTGCAGTAAAATTATTGCTCTTTTTTTGTTAAAAATACTTTTACCTGAAATATATTATCAACTACTTATACTGAGTATATGCAGAAATGTTTTTTTTATAATTCTAGCAGATTTAATATATTCTCTATTATATATATATTTGATATTATATGTAAGAACAAAAAGAGATAGATTATTCACAAAGAACATTTTATGTTGGCCAGATTTCAAAATTTTAGACATCAACTCTATCTTTACTATTCTTAAATTACTGTATTTTATTTCATGTTCGATGCTATAACCAAAATTTGTAAAACCGAGAAGTATCACTCATTAACTTCTTTTCTTGGATGTCCTATGTAAATAACCCCAGATATGTTATTATTATAATAACTTATCAGTAAAACCTTTAACAAAAATGTTTGGTGCTGTACCAAGTAACCTTGATAAACCACCAATTGTTGCTGAATATACAACAGCTAGAAGGAAACCTATGAAAAAACATTTCATATATTTGATTTATTCAAGTTCTAAAAATACCTTTCTTTATATTGTTATATTTTTTATCTTCGGATGTTGTAATTATAAGACGATCTGATTTTTTCTATGGTAATTGAAAACGTTGCTTTAATGTTACACGATTTTTTGGTTCTCTAAATAATTGAAATAAAAAGTTAAGAATTTTATTTTAGTTTATTTCATATACGGTTCTTCTATCTCTAATGGATTTAAAACAACTCCTTTTACGACATGTCCATTGGATGATTCAATTTCAGTTAGATCAAGTGTTTTTATAAAAAGTTTGAAAATTTCTTCCGGTTTTTTCTTCAAAATCATTTATTTACCATTTACTACAGCTGTAGCTTCTTTAGCACCATTTTTCTTTTCATGATATCCTTTAGTATGACTTTCAAGTTCATTAGTTATTGCTAATGCAACCGGTAACATAATTGATGTTGCTGCTGAATTACTAATCCACATTAAACACTAATAAATACCATTTTGTTGAAGTTTCAACAAGGCTTAAAACAAATAATGCAATTCGTCGATGAAGATTAACAGATTCAACAGCAAAAGCTAGTGTCATACTTTCAAAGAAAAGTGTTAACTATTATATATTTAAAATAATGTGAAGCAACAGTTTCAGCAGGTAAAATACCAGCCTAAACTTATATATATATATCTTAATAAAATATCATGAAAGAAAATATATTTTCTTCGACCATTGAAAAAAGAGCTAATGGTATTGCTTCGAAAACCCAATAGATAGTTAAAATAAGTACAATATAACCACATCGTGCTTGCTAAATGGAAAATTATTAGAAAAGAAAACAAAACTATTTAACATACAGATGATTTACGAACAAGTGGTATTGGAAGAAGAACCAATGGTGTTAATAAAACTATTAATAAACGCCATCGTGGTTTATACCAATTTATTATGTGGATCATTATTATAAATTTGGTTAGGAATAGATTTTTCAAACACTTGTTTTATATGAAAGAGTAATAATGAAAGAGAAAAAAAGAATCTTATTACTGATTAAAAATATGTGATTTCATTCCTATACGATATTTAACCAAATCTACTCTAATCAATTTACGTCGAATATAACCTTCAGACCATGATATAATTACAAATCTGAAAATAATTAAATGTCAAAAATAATCGTGAGATTATCACGTACATCAGGCACGTGAAAAATAAATAAAAATTCCCTGCTACATTTCTTACATGATTATATCAATGAGCAGTTCATAACATTCACAATAGTGAATAACTGAAACAATGAGTAAGGAAAGTTGTTTCACTTCACCCTCAAGTCATACATATCAAGAAGAAATGAGAATAATTTCTATATAGACATATACTTGAATAGATATTTCTCTCGAGTTCTTTTAAACTTCTATGAATGACTGACAACATGGATTGAGAAATTCTCTGTTTTATTTTTTTGTTTTTCCTATGTAGAAAATTTTTTGAGAAATAGTCACAAAATAATCGGTTATTTTCATACGATTTTAACCAATAATTTTGACAGTAATAATCACACATAAATCATCAATAAATCGATTATTTCGCGACTATTTCGTAATGTTTTCTTTGTATAGGTTGTAGGGATGTGCTTTAATGAAAACAATGTGATTGCAAAAAAAATTGTTTGCTCTAACTCCATGTGATTGACGCGTTTCTGCTTGAGGTCACACACTTTCTCTTTGATAGGAGAATAGGATACGGCCGGCAAAACGTTTCATTTGTATCATTAAATCATACGTATTTTTTGATATTTTTCATTCATCTTTCCCTTTTGATTCTAATAAAAAAGTCAAAAGAAATAAACCATTCTCTTTATTTTTGTTATCTAAATGGTACAAACCAAATGAACAGAATTAAATCAAGTGTCAGACACAAATCTAAAGTCATTATTTTTCTATTATTCTTTTCTAATTCTTTCTAAACAATAACATCTCATTAATTTAGTTAAAAATATCTAATACGTTTAAGAAATTCGTTATCTTAAAAATTCATGATTTATAACCAGTTTATAATTGTATTTCTTTAACATGAATGATATTATAATGCAAGTTGAAAGAATTATTTACCTATAATATTGATTTGTAAATAAAATCATATTATTATTCTTTTCGGTTGAAGAAAGTTAGTTGACATTTATTTTCCATACTCTTTTTTTATTTATTTATTTAAAAACAAGTTAGCTTTCGTAATACATTGCATTTCTTCATCAAACATGTTTCTACTGTACATAATATTCGACGCATTTACATGTACATTTGATAAAGAAACATTGTCTTTGTTCTTCCTTTGTTAAATACTATGTACAGTCGAAAAATATTTGATAATAAAGGAAGAGTATGGAAAATATCATTGATATTATGTAGCTAGAACTGGATTCATGATTTTGACTTGTTATACCTCTTTAATTTTATTATTGATTTATTTACAGTTAATAAAACTCTAATTTAAAGCTCTATGGTTGTGTAGAGATTAAAAGCAATCGACAATTTATTTTCTCTTTTTTTTTGTCTATAAATGCTTTAGAATTAGATTTAAACGACTTTTTACATATAATATTCTCAGTTTTTTTAGGCTCTACCAAACATTAACCCTTTCGGGACGGGTGGTACACCGTATATACCACAGTCCTTTTTTAACAGACACACGTTATGTATTAACGTTGGGAAGTACTTGTGCATACGTTAGAACATGTTCATAACATTTATATATATCTGATATGACTTGCGTAATTACGATCTATTTTCTTCCTTTTCTTCTTTGTACTAAACTATTATGCTGTATCTTCCTGATTTTTTCAAAAAAATAATACCGTCCTGGAAGGGTTAATGATATCATATTACTCCTACGCGACAGGTAGGAAGAAAATATCAATTAGCTTTGCATCTATGAAAAAATATCTGAAATCTTTGCCTTTTACATCGTGTTGCCCACGTTTATTTACAATATGAAAGAAATAGATATAATAGGTGATAGAGGTAAAATCAATGAAGCAAAGAATATTAATCAACCATTCGTAATAGCAATACATATAGACCCACAATACGCTTCACCTGTCATAATAATTTATATATGAAAAGAATATGAGTGATAAAGAGCCACTATTAAAACAATATAACACATTACATAGTAACAATGATAGCGGTAATCAAAATAAAAGGTATGATTTATAAAAAAATATAATATTGATAAATACATAACGAATTTATCATTATTTATAGTTTTTCTGATTGGCGTCAATATTTCAATCAGCAAAAGACTGATACTAGGGATAAAAAGTCAAATGGTGAGATCAAACATACTACTAAAGATATCCCAGTCAGCATTTTTCAATTGGTAAGTATATTCAAACATGAAATATCATATGAGAAAGTAATAAAAATACTAATTTCTTTTTAATATATGTATATATATGTCCGAAGCAAAATTTAATTTTTTTTTTGTTTTTTTGGTCGGGCAAATTAGTGACAATTGATAAGAAAAATACCGTATCAATTGATCAAGAGAAACTTATTTTAAAATATTTTATTGAGTAGACATGATATTCGCACGATCTGAAACGATAAAACTTACTCAATGAGATAAAAATAATCATTCTACCCACCTCACTCATGAAAAAAAAACTTTATGATCTTCTTTAAAATAAATGTCGCTATATTTTGTTTTATACATCTACCGTACTCTACATCTTCCAAAAGCTATATTCAATTTTTATCGAATAAAATCATTTTAAAATTAAGTTTAATTTTGCCAGACACATATATATGAATTATTTCTTTTCATTTAATAATAGTTTCGATTTGCTGAACGTATTGATATTCTTCTTTTAATTCTTGGTCTGTGCTTCATGTTAGGGCATGTAGTTGGTGCTGTCTCGAATGTACTTCTTTTTGGTCGAATCACGGGATTATTTGCCACTACATCATTTGCTGTTGATTGTGATAATCAATATCAAAATTTAGCATCTACAATTATCAATAATACTGTATGTCCTTTTGGTATTGAACTTAATCCATTAAATTATGATCGATTAAATAAGTAATTCATTGAAAAATATTCTTATTTTGAATCTTTTTCAACTTTTCATTTATAGGCTATGTCATTATGATAATAAAATTATTTCATCCACATTAGCTCCATTAACACCTTTATTTCATGAGAATGTGATGCATCTAGTTTATTGCTTTTTCGGTAAGTCTGTTGAACAGGATGATTTCAATTAAAAAAAAAATAAACGATTTATTGTTTCTCTATATCAATGTAGGTTTCAGTATTCTTACATATGTAAGTGCTTCTCTTGAATATTTCTGTTGGACAGTTGCTACGAAACGGCAGACATCTCGTATGAGTGCTTTACTATTACGATCACTTATTCAACGAGTAAGTAAAAATATTTTTTTACACTCATAAAATACTTTATAATTTGTGAACATATGTCAGTATTGAATAGTATCAAATTTGTACTAGATGACTTAAATTCAGTGGAGATCTGCATTGTAAATGTTTTATTTCTTCAAAGACGGTTATATATTGAAGAGTAACTAAAATACAGTTTATTCTATTTATTTCACTTGTTCCGTGTCAAACATAAAACAAAATTAAGTAGATCATTTGAATGTCGATTTCTAATTTTCTGTTTTCAAAATATTTCTCTAATCAACAAACTGATAATTCTAAAAACATCGTTAATATATCAATTAAATTATGATGTAAGATAAAATAATGTATTATTTCTCTTTCATTCTTTAGAACATGACTTACTTGGATACAAATCAAATTACTCAATACAATACGACGCTTTTTACGTAAGTAAATATAATAACTTTATAATAAACAATTCTATATGATCGATTTTCTTTACAGTAATATTGAAAAGATCAAAAACGGAATAGGCTTTGAATTCTTAATGCCAATTGCAGTTAGTCTACACGTGATTGTCAGTATAATCGTATCTTTTATTGTCAATTGGCAATTGTCTTTAATTATGTCTTGTATAATTCCAATTATTTGTGGTAGTTCATTGATGTTTGCTAAGGTATAAAGTTTTTCTTTAATTCGCTAAAACTCTATCGATAATTTCAGGTCGTCACTAGAGAAACAAAAGAACAGTTACGTACATATTCAAAAGCTGGACAAATCGCTCAAGAAGTGTTTAGTTCATTAAGAACTGTTCTTTCATTCAATGGAAGCCAATCGCAACAAAAAAAGTAAAGAAAGAAAAAAAGATTTTTAAATTATTGTATATTATTTTATTGTCGTATTTATTGTATCTAGATATGAAAAAGAATTAAAATTAAATGAATGGCATACCGTTCGCAAAGATGCTGCATTTGGTGTTTTTACTGGTTGGTTATTTTTTATGAACTTTGCAGTTTATTCAATTGGTTTTACTTTTGGTGCCATTCTTATGTCTTATGGAAATCATCGTACAGTAACCATTAGTGAAATTCTTGTTGTAAGTGAGATATAATATCAATATGCAAAGAAGTAATTGAAAATTGAACTTTCGTTTAGGTTGTAAGTATGTTTGCACAAGGTTTAAGTCTGTTTAATCAAATGGGACCTTTCTTCCAATCAATTTCGGAAGCTCAAGGTGCAGCGGTATCTGTATTTCGACTTATTGCTGAGGTAAAATCGATTGAGTACTTGATACTAAATCTTGGTAATAATATTTTTTATTTTATGATATAGGCACATGATGAAAATCTGAATGAAAGAGAAATATTGGAAGAAAACATATCTGATGAAAGATCTATTCCAAATATCAATGGTAATATTGAATTTGACAATGTTAGTTTTTCTTATCCATCTAGAGAAAATGTAACAACTTTGAATAATCTTAAATTGATTGCTCGTGCTAATCAAACAACTGCTCTTGTAGGTTCAAGTGGTTGTGGTAAATCTTTTTTTCTGAAGCAAAGCTAATATTTTAATATTGAAATTCATTGATAGGAAAAAGTACATGTGTATCACTTCTTCTTCGCTATTATGAACCTTCTTCAGGCAGAATTATGATTGATGGTCAATCAATTACAGATCATAAAATCAAACAATTTCGTCAAAATATTGGAGTTGTTAGTCAAGAACCTGTAGGTTATTTTTATTTTCTTTTTTAGTCTCTGTCGAATTTTTATATTGAAATAGATTCTATTTGGATTAAGTATTTATGAAAATATTCGTTTTGGTAAATTGAATGCAACACGTGCAGAGATTGAACATGCTGCAGAACAAGCCAATGCACATAAATTCATTATGAAATTACCAAATGTTTGTTTTTAAATATTCATCTTCATCTATATGTATATAAATTAATATTTTTGTTGACAGAAATATGAAACACTTGTTGGTGAACGTGGTATACAATTGAGTGGTGGTGAAAAACAACGTATTGCATTAGCTCGTGCACTTGTCAAGCAACCCAACATTCTTTTGTTAGATGAAGCAACAAGTGCACTTGATAATGTTAGTGAAAGAATTGTTCAAGAAGCACTGGATCGAGCATGCAAAAGTAAAAATTATTTAATTATTGTTGATCATATTATTATTAATATATATATACAGATCGTACAACTATTGTTATTGCTCATCGTTTGACTACGATTCAAAACGCTGATTATATCTA